CTCACACTCAACAACTTCTCTTTCAATTCCTCCCACTTCCTACAGACCAAGGGGGTAGCCATGGGTACCCGCATGGGCCCAAGCTACGCCTGCCTCTTTGTAGGTTACGTGGAACAATCCCTCTTCCGTACCTACACCGGCCCTAAACCCCACCTCTTCCTCCGTTACATTGATGACTGTATCGGCACCGCCTCGTGCTCCCACGAGGAGCTCGAATAGTTCATACACTTCACTAACACCTTCCACCCCAACCTTAAGTTTACCTGGACCATCTCTAACACCTCTCTCCCCTTCCTGGACCTCTCTGTCTCCATATCGGGCAACCACCGAGAAACCGATATTCATTTCAAGCCCACCGACTCCCACAGCTACCTAGAATACTCCTCTTCCCACCCACCTTCCTGCAAAAATGCTATCCCCTATTCCCAATTCCTTCGCCTCCGCCGCATCTGCTCCCAGGATGAGGCATTCCACTCCTGTACATCTCAGTTGTCCTCGTTTTTCAAGGACTGTAACTTCCCCTCCTCGGTGGTCGAGAACGCCCTCAACCGTGTCTCCCACATCTCCCGCACCTCATCCCTCACACCCCGTCCACGCAATAAAAACCAAAAAAGAATCCCCCTCGTCCTCACGTACCACCCCACCAACCTCCGGATCCAACGCATCATCCTCCGACACTTCCGCCATCTGCAATCCGACCCCACCACCAAAGACATCTTTCCCTCCCCACCCTTATCTGCTTTCCGGAGGGACAACTCTCTCCGTGACTCCCTTGTCCGCTCCACACTCCCCTCCAGCTCCACCACACCCGGCACTTTTCCCTGCAACCGCAGGAAGTGCTACACCTGCCTCCATACCTCCTCCCTCACCCCATCCCAGGCCCCAAGAAGACTTTCCACATCAAGCAGATGTTCACCTGCACATCTGCCAATGTGGTATACTGCATCCGCTGTACCCGGTGTGGCTTCCTCTACATCGGGGAAACCAAGCGGAGACTCGGGGACCGCTTTGCAGAACACCTACGCTCGGTTCGCAACAAACAACTGCACCTCCCAGTCGCGAACCATTTCAACTCCCTCTCCCATTCCTGAGACGACATGTCCATCCTGGGCCTCCTGCAGTGCCACAACGATGCCACCCGAAGGTTGCAGGAACAGCAACTCATATTCCGCTTGGGAACCCTGCAGCCCAATGGTATCAATGTGGATTTCACAAGTTTCAAAATCTCCCCTCCCCCCACCGCATCTCAAAACCAGTCCAGCTCGTCCCTGCCTCCCTAACCTGTTCTTCCTCCCACCTATCCCCTCCTCCCACCTCAAGCCGCACCTCCATCTCCTACCGACCAACCTCATCCCGCCCCCTTGACCTGTCCGTCCTCCCTGGACTGACCTATCCCCTTCCTAACTCCCTACCTATACTCACCTTTCCTGGCTCCATCCCCGCCTCTTCGACCTGTTTGTTTCCTCTCCACCTATCCTCTCCTCTATCCCTCTTCTATCCGCCTCCCACTCTCTCCCTATTTATTTCAAAACCCCCTTCCCCTCCCCCTTTTCTGATGAAGGGTCTCGGCCCGAAACGTCAGCCTCTCTGCTCCTATGATGCTGCTTGGCCTGCTGTGTTCATCCAGCCCTGCACCTTGTTGTCTGGTAAGAATTAATAGGTCCTTTTCAAATTGGCAGGCAGCAACTAGTGGGGAGCCACAGGGATTGGCGCTGGGACCCCAGCTATTCACAATATATATTAATGATTTGGATGAGAGAACAAAATGTAACATCTCCAAGTTTGCAGATGATACTAACTTGGGTGGGAGGGTGACGTGTGAGACGAGAATGCAGAGATCCTTCAGCATAATCTCGACAGGTTGGGTGAGTTGGCAAATCAATGGCAGATGCAGTATGATTTGGATAAATGTGAGGTTATTCACTTGGGAAGCAAAAACAAGAAAGCAGACTACTACCTGAATGGCTGTAAAATGGGAGAGGGGAATGTGCAGTGGGACCTGGGCATCATTGTGCACCAGTTGCTGAAGGTAAGCATGCAGGTGCAGCAGGCAGTAAAGAAGGCAAATGGTATGTTGGCCTTCATTGCAAGAGGTTTAGAGTACAGGAGCAGGGATGTGTTCCTGCAGTTGTACAGTGCCTTGGTGAGACCACACCTGGAATACTGTGTGCAATTTTGGTCTTCTTTTCTGAGGAAGGATGCTCTTGCTCTCGAGGGAGCGCAGTGAAGGTTTGCCAGGCTGATTCCAGGCATGGCAGGGCTGACGTATGATGAGAGATTGACTAGATTGGGATTGTTTATGCGAGAGTTTAGATGAATGAAGGGGGATCTAACAGAGGTTTATAAAATTCTAACAGGACTGGACAGGGAGGATGTTACCGATGGTGAGTGTGTCCAGAACCAGGGGTCACAGTATGAGGATTCGGGCTAGACGATTTAGGATGGAGATGAGGAGACATTTCTTCACCCAAAGGACGCTGAGTCTGTGGAATTCATTACCACAGGAAATAGTTGATGTCAAAACATTGAATGTATTCAAGAGGCAACTAGATATAGCACTTGGAGTGAATAGGATCAAAGGTTACGGGGAGAAAGCAGGGATTAGGCTATTGAGTTGGACGATCAGCCAGGATCGAGAAGAATGGCGGAGCAGGCTCGAAGGGCCGAATGGCCTCCTCCTGCTCCTATCTCCTATGTTTCTATCACATCATGTCTACTGATGTCAAGACATGAGAAATAGAACAGCCAGCTCCAATACTGGCCAATTCTATCAAGCAGGTTTGCACAGGACAAGTTCAAGTTCAACAACAAGCGAATGATACGGAAAAATATTTTGGAATTTTTGGGTAAAAGTCATGTGATTTTTGTGAGAGATCAACTTTTACTCAAGTAAGCTCCATAAAAGATTTTATATAGACTGCCATCACCAGAAGATAGTCAAACTGTACATCTTAAATCCAGAATTAATGGTTGGTTTATAGCAAGATCTATTAATTTCTTTGTCAACATGCCAGAGTAGGTCAATTAGACCTTTTGTTTTGATTGTTTATGCTCATTTATCTTTCTTTCATTCTGACTGATGAATTACCACAATTACTTACTAGTCTTTTTTGCTGAAGCTGCTCTCTAAGCACTCTGTCTTCAGGTAAAACATCACAGAGAAGGTAATATTCCACTTGGTTCTCTATCAAAATAACAATACTTTCAGTTGTCAGTATTTGGAAACACGTTTTAAGATTTCATCACACCATGCCTTTTTAATTGCTCTATTGTACAATGAATTTCCAATTTTAAACTTGCAATCTATTTTTAAGTGCATGAAAATATATTCAAAAATCACAAACTTGCAATAAAGCATTAATTAGAAAGCATTAATAAGCAAGAATAGTTCTTTCATATTTTTTATATCTGACATTGTTACCTTCAGGACCTTGGGCATTAGTTCTTATTACTGTACAAAAATCTGTTATTGGTTGCTCAATAAACCTTTTCTTCCAATACAAAATGTACCTAAAACAAATCAAAAATAAAAAAAAGTCACTTTCATTGAATACTTATTTTTGTCCTTCCAAAAATCTTAAAAACTAATTTGGAAACGAGAAAATCCTGTGCAGTTCAGCTGACTAATAAGTTAAAAGCTGATCAGACTCAAGGTACGAGAGCCTTTTTGATCATTCTGAAAAACTGCCAATAACTCAAATTAACTAAACTTTGAAGGCTACTATCTCAACTGATTTTGGTTATGTGGTGGTATACTAAGCAATACATAATTTTATATTTCAAGTCCTGCTTGAATCTGTCTGCATTCAGTTTTAGTCTCATTTTCCATTTAAATATTATTTTCAGATTTAAATGTTTTTGTTCACATTAAATTCATTAGACATGTTTACTTATTACTGGTTGTATAGTAGTTGTTTTAAGTAAAATGAACTTGTGGTTACAATTCAAGATAGCCAGATAATGAGGGGTAGAACTGGAACTTAGCCCTTTTGACTTGAAAGCTTTTATTTGCAAAAGATATTGATTAGAGAATGTGTTGATTGGATTGGACTTGCACAGTTTCAGTCTGCTCATATTAGGTAAAAGTGATCATCATATTTTAAGGTTTATATAATAATGAAGAAAACCAAGGAACAATCTTAAGTAGAGCTTCTAAATTGGAAGAAGGCTAACTTCAGAAGGATGGGATTGGAAAGGGTGGGGGATTGGAAATCTAGTTAGGGTAAAATAAAACCAAAGACTGACAGGAAAAGAACTAATGAAACAATGTGTGATCCTCAAGGAGGAAATGTTTCATATCTAGGCTAGTTATATTCCATCAAGGGTGAAAGAGAGGAGCCAGGGAAATAGAGAATATAATGAAATGTTTAAAAAAAAAGGCCAAATACAATAATTTGAGAAGGGAGGTGAAGAGCAAATTAAAACTGTCAAACAGAAAAATTGAGAATAGAACGTCAGTGAACAAAAATTTTGTACTGACAAGTAAGCAGTAAACAGCTAGAAAAGGCAGGTGGAGGACTACTGGGGACAAAGGTGGTGATATATACTTTAAGAAAGAAGGTAAAACTACAATAGGTCATACCTAATGAACACCATTATGATTCTGGATGTGACAAACAATTTATGGAGACACCAATAACAATCCTTTTTCTTTAAGGAAGACAAATTTTGAAATCCAAGCACTTACTAATGGAGTTACAAGAGTTCACAGTTTTGAAGAAAGAAACTACCATTACAATTCCAAAATAGAAATCTTGACAGGCAAACTATGGAGCACATCAAATAGCAGACGCAGTCAAGACAGATCCCATGGATTTCTCAGCAGCCCACCCAGACATTAGACTATCAAATCTTATCAAAACTTCAACTCCCTTAGAAGAAATTAAAATTCTTCACTTTTGAAGATCTAAGCTTGACATTCCCTCAAAGCTGGGCTCAATGACTGTTCACATCCTGGTCATTCAATATTTTCTTGAGACTGCATTCCATTAAATTTCCAAGACACTTTTGCAAATAGCCTGACTAAATTGCACAATGTCTGGACTTCTCCAAACTTCAATATTCTCAGCTGTCAAGCAAATTTTGGTTTCCTTCTTTTCCACTCTCACCTCACAGAGTGCCTGGGAATTGAATGAACTCTCAGCTCCTTGAAGCAAGTTACAGAATGTTAGTTTTTTTGGCTGCTCCTCTCTCCCCAGCATAGAGCCAGCACCCTCCTCCATCTTTCCTGTTTCTCAGGACTTCTCCCAATATCTGACTGCCTGGAGACTGCTAACAGCGGACATTTTTGGTATTAGCCTCTGATGTGCTCCTTTTTTTCACCAAAAGGAAAGGAGGATTAATGTAAAGCACATGACGAGCGGTGACTGCTTGCTTTGTTGTGGATCCCTGCTTGCTGTTTCAACAATGCCTTGTTTGGTGAGCTAAACAAAAAAAAACAAAGAGCTGTGATGCTGGCATATCAGAAGTAAAAACAGAAATGCTGGAAAAACTCAGCAAGTCTGGCAGTATCTGTGAAGAAAAAGCAGAATTAACATTTTGGGCCTAGTGTCTGTTCCCCTGAGCAATTCTGAAGGGTCACTAGACTCGAAATGTTAATTCTGCTTTCTCTCCACAGATGCTGCCAGACCTGCTGAGTTTTTCCAGCATTTCTATTTTTGTTTGATTTGGAGAGATTCCGTTTTATCTGGCTCAGTTGGAAGAAAACCTGCTATGAATGAACTGCACAGCTGATCTGTCTCATCTTAAAAGAGAAAATCCTCTTGCTGGGTTCAGGGAGAAATCCTTTGGTTATTTTGAAGAATAAATTGGTTAAAAAAAAAAATCTCAAGTTTGTGGTCCTTGAGCAACCTGTGCATGCAAGACTTCAAACGTATCCATGCATGAATAGTGACTTGTCCACATGCACAAGAATGCTCAAGAAATACAGACTTCGGTACATTCTACACTGTCCTTTTGCTTTCACGAATAGCCACTGGTCTAGGTGTGTGTTTTTATTTTGGAAAGCCAATCTACGCAAAGATTTTTTTTCCTCTTTTCTTGAAGAGGATGTGTATTTGAGATATTCAGAAGGATAAGCATTTATGATTGCATAATACTGACCATACATTCACAGAACAACTTCTTTTTGATATTAAAACAATCATCGTTTTCGTTCAGAAACCTGGTTGATGGATCTTGTTTTAATACCCGACGTTGATGCGGTACTTAATTGGTCTTCTTTGTAACCAGTAAAACTGTTTGTATTTCATGTTGCAACCTATATAGTGGCACAATGACGACAGTGCAACTCCTCTAACTTCAGTTGTAAAAGTGTAAGGACATTTTTGGCAATTCCTGTCAGCCTAACATCATTTTTGGTTAATATTTTTGGCATAACAGGGACAACATCACAGGAACCTGGAGAAGTGAGAGTTAATTAAGACCCTGCATGGATTTGTAAAAGGTAGATCGTGCTTAAATAACTTAAATTGATTTTTTTTGATGAAGGAACAGCAAAGTTTGATGCAAGCCCAGTATGAGGACCACCGCTTTGTAGATATGACTAGGATTTTGGAGTAGAGAGTGTAATTTCAAAATATACGATGATATCATATTTTAAGTGCAGCAAACAGGATAATACCAATAGACAGCAACAGGGCATTGAGGAAGGAGAGTGTATAAATATGTGGCAGACGGTTTCATACAGAAGTGTGATGTGTGCCATTTTGGAAGAGGAGGAGACAGGCAATGAGACTTAATGGCACAATTATAAAGAACATATGGGGCAGAAGAACTAGTTTCAAGAGATCAAGGCATTCTTTCATATAAAAAGAAATCTAATGCTAAATTCAATGTTATCCTATCAAACTGAAGGTTTAGGACAATGCTGAAAAACTAAAAGTGTTGTAAATACTTCGCAGGTCAGTGATCAAGAACAGGATTTTCCATTTAAAAAATTCAAGGTCAACAGCTTCCAATTTCAAGATGCAGTAGATCAGGCAGCAGTTTCAGGTGTGTACACACATATATGCGTTTATGGAATGAGCTGCCAGAGGAAGTGGTACAATTACAACATTTAAAAGACATTTGGACACGTACATGAAGAGCAAAGGTTTAAAGGATACGGATTAGTTTAGTTTGGTAAACCTGGTTGAAACAGACAAGTTGGACCGAAGGATTTGTTTCCGTGCTGTATGACTCTTCAACGCTATATAGTTGAATGTAGACATCTGGAAGCTGTGGTCCAAATTATACTGCTCCTCCACAAGCTAGGTTAATTGAATCCCAACGATGTACTCAGTATCAAAATCAAAATCAAAAAAAAAAAGTGTAAAATAGAATGGCACTTACTAAATACAACAGAAAAGGGTTAGAATTGATGGATTTGGGGTATAAGTGAATTTTTATTATTGTGATCAATAACATTTAGTGTCAAATAAGTTCCATGGCACTTATGGAATCTGATTATTCAAGAGTTTAATTAGTTTAACGTTGAAATGATTATCTTTCTTATTTCCATTATTTATCCCTGCTTTTCCATCCCAATGTTTAAATTGTTTCTTATACACAATTACAATCTAGTTTACAATTACAATTTGTACCTCATACTTTTAGATTTAAGCCCTGCATATTAAGTGAGGATTATTCAGTCTGATTCGTTGCCAAGACCTCTTTTGCACAGCTCACAAGAGATACAAATACCCTGTAGGAGGATACTGCATCGAATAAGACACATGATTATACAAAGTCTTAGCTCAAAAATCTGGACAAACTCTGTGGGTAGCTATCATCATATTGAGTCATTTCTTCAACGCTGATTACAAAATTGGGTTCCACAAGCAGTTTCTGGCAATACGTTCTTTATGAGATAATTAATTCAGGAAGCATGTCAATCTGAGTTTCCAGAATAAACTTAGTTCAAATAATTGGATGACAATCATGCTGGATGAGTCAGATGTAGAGTAAACCTGAATGGATAAAATATATGCTATAGGTTCAATATATTATACTTTAAAAAAAAACACTAAATGATGAATTGAAATTCAGAATATAGGAAGTTTTGTTTGAAATTTGTTTTCCCCTTCCTGTTCAATCTAAGTGGGCCAACCAGTGATGGACTGGAAAGACAAACACATTAACAGTATGATAAATGCTCAATATGAGTTGTGCGCCAAGGTGCAAAGTTTTATATGTGTGCAGTAAAAAGACCAATACTGAGATACATATGAAGGGAGGCTGTAAGCAAGTGTTATCGTATTTGTAAACCCAGATCATACTACTATTTCAGATACAGCTCCTTTTATTGCTAATTTTAAGTCCCACCTCTACTCAACCTGTTCAGATTATCAGAATTATTTCACTACAAAGGTGCTTGTACATGTTACTGTCAGTTAAATCAATTTGTACAAGTGTGAATGCTATAAACTGAGATTATATTTAAAAAAGTTGCCTTTAAAAAGGTGTTAAACAGTTTTGCATCAGGCACATAAAAAGACCTGATGTAATTAGCAATTCTTATCTGCAAATCAGAAGTCAGTAGATACTATAGATCAATAATTTAAGACAACCTTGTACAGGTAATGGAAATGTGATGATTGAACGTTCTTGTGTGGTGGATCAAATTTTACACATTACGGCTGAAACCTAAGTGCATTTTCTCTAGGATTCAAGTTATCTCAGGCTAAAAGGTACGATCATGGGAAACTCCTCGAAACAATAAAACTTTATTTAGGACCAGCATGTAACCTCTTTGTGTTTATTATTGTCACATTTTAACTATCTGCATGCCAAGGGTTAAGAGAATAAGTTCCAAATCCGTCTTGAAAGTAATTCCTCTTGTAGTTATTTTGTCTTGTATATTTTTAAGCTATCATACGAATTATGCTAACCAGCCAATAAGATGTTCATTCGAGAGAAACACCACTGTTCAAATGAACCAGTACACTGAAACAGACTAGAACATTTTCATTTGGATTAAAGTAGTGTCTTAACCCAGCAGGAAGTCACAATGCAATAATCTTGACTTCTTGACATAAGCACAGTGTTGTGTACGATTACACTGTTTTAACGAATCCAAAAATATGGAACAGTTTTGAGTCATTGAGGCTGTTGTTTGCAAGTACATTGCACAACACCATGACTTAAACTCTCAAATATGTGGCTAAAAGACAACATCGTATTTGGTTTTAAGAAAAAGGTTTTTAAAAACTAAATTAATTCCAGCATATAGTAGCTCACCAATATAGGATTAGCACCTTCAATGTTTCTAACCCTCAGCGCATACTTAAACATTATTACATGCCTCCACTCCTATTTTCTACATTTTGAAGTTAAATGGCACATATCAACATTCTGCACCACCTTGTGGTGAAACTATTTAGAAAAATTCTCAGCTTAATCATTTTTATTTATGAAACATTCATAGAATTGCTTGCCCCATTGCAAATAGGTTAGGTCTTAACTTTTATTAGAAAGGAATGTAGACAATTATTAAACTTTTATAGCATAGTTTCCAATTTAAAACCACACAAAAAGTGTCTGAAATGGAAAAAAAGTGATTAAAAATTAATCACTGCAATGAGTACAGCTGATTGTTTGAATTTCAGAAATATCATAAACACATTGAAATAGCAAGAAATTGGACCAGATATTTTACAACTTTCTTGAAATATTAGGCACTGGTAACCAGGGAACGAAGAACAGAAGAATGCTGTTCCAGAACTTTGGGTGGATACTTATTCACAGATGTGACTGCTTTAACCAGGGATCCAATATGTAACCCTACCGTCTCCCAGTCACATTGCTGCAACTTCTACACTAGTATTAGCTAAAGATGCTTCTCCCTTTCAGGTCATGCAAACTGATTGGCCCACTTATTACTCAGACTATCCTTGAAAGCAAAGGTAACCTCTAGATTTTAAAAACAAAACTTCCATCAACTGTGACCTTTCCTTCCCTTCAACAAATGCAAGGAGCTCAATCAATCTTTCGTCATTAGGACTGAGACCACTAGAACAGCTTCCCCTGCTTCTTCTCCTTTCCCACCACATCCATCCCACCCAAAAATTCTTTCCTTGCATCATTCTCTAGTTTTATTTCCACCTATTTTCATATTCCCACTTTGCTCATGGAATGTACATACATTCAATCACATTCTGCTAAACTGCTGACAATCCAACTTCCCTTATTACCTAGACAACAAGGTGCAGGGCTAGATGAACACAGCAGGCCAAGCAGCATCATAGGAGCAGAGAGGCTGACGTTTCGGGCCTAGACCCTTCATCAGAAAAGGGGGAGGGGAAGGGGGTTCTGAAATAAATAGGGAGAGAGTGGGAGGCGGATAGAAGAGGGATAGAGGAGAGGATAGGTGGAGAGGAAACAAACAGGTCGAAGAGGCGGGGATGGAGCCAGTAAAGGTGAGTGTAGGTAGGGAGTTAGGAAGAGGATAGGTCAGTCCAGGGAGGACGGACAGGTCAAGGGGGCGGGATGAGGTTGGAGGAGGGGATAGGTGGGAGGAAGAACAGGTTAGGGAGGCAGGGACGAGCTGGACTGGTTTTGGGATGCGGTAGGGGAGGGGAGATTTTGAAACTTGAAGTTTCTCTCGGATTCTCCAGCATCTGCAGTTCCTACTATCCCTTATTACCTAACCTGCTTCTAGCCCTCCTCCTCTGCCCTGCTTCTCACTCACCATTCTAGCTAACATTGTAAATTGTTCCTTTTCCTCAGAATCTGTCCTCTAACCTTTAAAATCACGGTCATCACCTTGTTTTTCCAGACAATATCTCCTTTGGCCTTGCTCTTCTTTCCCACAAGTTCAGATATCTCCTCAGTCAAGGTTCCTCCTTTTTCATCTTACTGAAATGCCCTGAATCATGTCACCATTGACATGGTTTGTGAAGTTGGTGCACTATCCTTGTGAACCTCTCTGGATACTTTGGCATAGCTGAGCATACCCCACCAACTGCCGTCCTTTAATTATCAGGCATTCCTCACTTGGTTCCATCAGTAATGGGTTTTCTTCCTATACCCACTTAACTACCTTTGAAGTTCTCACGATTAATCTTTGGCTTCATTTACATGCTGGCCATTGACATTTCCAAACGTATGATTCCAAGTGCATTTGAAAACATTCAGCTTTATCACTCCAGTTTCTTTTCAATACGTACTCTGCTTCGCCTGTCAAATTACAAGTTTGACATCCAATATCAAATGAACTGCAAATTCCTCCACTCAAACATGGTGGAAGTATGAAGCCACCACTGGCCCCTTCACAAACTCTATATCTATATCACCAATTCCATCCCCTTCTCTGGCTATAACCTCAGGATGGAACAGATGGTTTGTAACTTCAGTATCCCAAGATCCTGAATCTATCTTACAAAGATTACATTATTTTCACCCTCAGGTTTCTATCACATATCACCTCTGTGCTTGCTGATCTACATTTGAGGCACAGGGAGTGGCAGCTAATGTAAAATTCTCAACCAGATGTTAAAATTCCTCCATGGCCATGATCCCTCTCTACCATTGTAAACTGCTCCAGCCTGATAATCAAGGCCACCTCACCTCAGAGCTCTGCATTCCTCTAACTCTGGTCTCTTGTGCATCCACAAAATAGGGATCTAAACCTTCCTACAGCACAATATATAATGGATAGATGTACTGGAGACAGGGAGGAGAAAATCTGACAGATGAAATGTCTCCCAATTTTGTTTCCCGTAGTAGGTTAGTGATTGTGACATAAAGGTTATGCAATAGTTTAAAATATTTGACGGGATTTGAACTGCATTGCTTATCCTGCTACATAATAGATCCAAGAAGGCAGATACTAAAATGCGTTAACTTACAATTTATTTTACAAGTGTTTTCCTTTCCTGTCAATTAAAAACTATCAGAAGAGGAAAATGTGAGCATGCAGTACATTAACCACTGTTGTATCAACTTCTGGATAGCACAAATATATAACGAAATTGTCCACATGTACCATTGCACTGCTCCTCCACAAACATAGTTAGGGGTTTTGAAAATTGTTTTTCATATACATAAATCTTTATGCGTATCATGTAAATTAAAAACAGAGGCCAGCTCAATACAGGTCCTTATGTCAGCAGAGAGCAACTTTACTGGCATAGAGGCATTTTGAGGACATTTTAATGAACCTTGATTCTGTTTACTTCTTTAGGTTCAATTCCTTACTCTAAATGCATCCAGTTTGGGTTCCTTGTGGTCTTTAGTGATCTATACAAAGATTGACACTTGTACAAAGAACCTTACAGATTGTCAATTCACATTTTTTCTTTTATGTTTCAGCAGCAAGTGAACGCTATAGTTTTGTAATTTGCAATATGTTTGAGATAAAGTTTTAAATCTCAAACTCTATTAAATACACAACAATGGCCTTGACCCAGCATCATACAAAGAGAGATTGAGGCCAAGAATAAATTGTAAATCATCAAACCTCTTGAAATCAACAATGAGCTTCACATCAGCTATCACCAGCTTATGTTCAACAATCATATGTCTGAGCAGGTTTTCTTGATCTTCTGCAGGATAACCAACTTCACAAAATATGCAAGGTAATGTCAGGGAAGTGAATCCATCAGAATTGCAACATGGAGACTCTGGCAAGGAGAGGGGCTCCAATATCCAGTCTTTTTTTCCTGAAAACAATATGAAATCCACTACATTAGTTAAGTAAATAACACTTTCAATCAGCAGCCTTCCAATTCTTTACAATGCTTTCTGCCAGAAAGAAAAATTTGCAACATTTCGGATCATGTGGATTCAGTCCCACTATTGGAGCTGTGAAATGCACGTGCGCATCAAGACCTAGGATGAATACTGACTCCTGCTTCAAGTGACAAGAACGGCTTTAAGTCAGTGCCACCATATATGCTTTAGAACTGTTCTTTTTTATTCATAAGCCACAATATGGACTGCCTCTTGAATATGGCAAGTTTGAAGTTCTCTTCGCCACTCTGATTAGGAACGTTTTGCATACTGAGTTTGTTGACTGGCTCGCCGAGCTGGCTTGTTCTTGTTTAGACATTTTGTCAAAATGCTAGGTGACATAACCAATGGAGCCTCCGATGAAGCGATGTTATTCTACTCCGCTTGGAATTTATACCGCCTGGTCCATTATAGTGAGTAGTGTCACTTCTGGTTTTGATCTGTATGGGTTTGTATATGGGGTCCAATTCTATATGTTTGTTGATTGCATTACGGGTGGAGAACCACGCCCCTAGGAATTCCCGTGCGTGTCTATGTTTGGCTTGGGCTACAACGGTTACCTTATCCCAGAAAAACTGATGGCCTTCGTTGTCTAAGTGTACCGATATTAAGGAGAGTTTGTCGTGCCGTTTTGCTGCTAGTTGATGTTCATGTATTCTGATAGCTAGGTTCCTTCAGGTCTGTCCAATGTAATGTTTGTGGCAGTCATTGCATGGTATTTTGTAAACCACGTTGGTTCCGCATGTTGTGGGAATAGGGTCTTTAATCCTTGAGTGTTTGTTGTAGCATGGCTTTGGGCTTGTGGGCTACCATGATTCCAAGTGGTCTTAGGAGTCTCGTTGTCAGTTTGGTCTTGATGGAGGGCAGTGTGGCCAGTCTGTTAGGGCGTACTGTGTCCTCTTGTTGTCTATTTAGTAGGCATCTGCGGATGAAGTTGAGGATATCCATTTATAGCGAGGATTTTGTATAGGTGCTCTTCCTCTTTCCTGCGTAGTAGTGGAGTTCTGCAGTGTGTCCTGGCCTGTTTAAATAGTGTACGAACGCAGCTTTGTTTGTGGACGTTGGAGTGGTTGCTGTGGAAGTTGAGGATTTGGTCAATGTGGGCTGCTCTTCTGTATACTGAGGTTTGGAATTCCCCGTTGGTCATATGCTCAACTTTAACATCCAGAAACTGAAGTTGATTGTTGGTTCTTCTTCCCTTGTGAATTTAATCCCTGCGAATATGCTGTTGATGAGGTGGTGGGTCTCTTCTAATTTGTTTGCGTTGTTGTAGCAAAACCGCACGACAAACTCTCCTTAATATTGGTACACTTAGACAACGAAGGCCATCAGTTTAACTGGGATAAGGTAACCATAGTAGCCCAAGCCAAACATAGACACGCACGGGAATTCCTACAGGCATGGTTTTCCACCTGTAATGCAATCAACAAACGTATAGAATTGGACCCCATTTACAAACTCATACAAATCAAAACCGGAAATGACACAACTCACTATCATGGACCAGACAGCATAAATTCCAAGCGGAATAGAATAACATCGCTTCATCGGAGGCTCTATTGAAGATGTCACCTAGCATGGTGACGAAACATCTGAACGAGAACAAGTCAGCTCGGTGAGTAAGTCAACAACCTCACCCACAACCCGAGCTACAGATCTCTGCCAAAACTTTAAATTTTCCATACTCGAAGAATGAATAAATTTATCTCATGAAGAGAAATTTTGGTATTTGGATTATTAGTTTTTAAGTTATACCAGATAAAAGAGTGAATGTGAACACTGTGTGCTTTTGGAAAGTTGGAATTTCTCCACAGCTAGTACATTGTAGTAACTCAATTAGAAGTTGCTGAAATGTATATTATTGGGTGGGTGGTTGTGTGTGTAAATGTTATTTTCTATCACCTCTCTCTCCTTTTTCTTACACTATCAATTTAAACAACAATCAAGATAAACCAATGAAACTACCAAATGGAAAATAGGTCTAATCACTCACTAAAATACTAGCAATCGGGTAAGGACAAGAGGAGGATTTTGTCTTTGAAAAAAGTCTAGAGGAAAAAGGCAGGTAATTGGAATTTGAGGAAGTAGCTCTAGTTAAGAGCTATCGTTAGAAGATGACAGAATAAATTCCTAAAAATGCTGATTTTTATAACTAAAAGGCTCTGGATAACTTTGTATACTCCTTCCTCTTCTGAAGAGGTGACCTTATAGAGGTTTATAAAATCATGAGGGACCTAGAAAATGTGAATAGCAAACATCTTTTCCTTAGGGTAGGAGAGTTCAAAACTAGAGGACATAGTTTTAAGGTGAAAAGAGAAAGATTTAAAAGGGACCTGAGGGGCAACATTTTCACACAGTGTGGTTTGAATGTGGAACAAGCTGCTAGAGGAAGTGGTAGATGCAGGTACAGTTTTAACATTTAAAAGATATTTAGACAGGTATATGAATAGGAAAGATTTAGAGAGATATGGGTTTAGAGCAGGTGGAACTTGAACTCGGGCCTCCTGGCTTAGAGTTAGGGACACTATCCCCATTCCATGGAGGACAAACCCTGACTTCATGTTACAATTAGATTTCCAGTGCATGTCATGTGATTGCAATCAAAGCAGTAGGCCTGTCTATCGCCTAACATTCATAAACCAAGACACTCAAGACAACCAGTGCAACGTACAGCTGGATGATCAAATTTAGCACAGACCAGGGAACGGGATTGCATCACATCTGTTTTGATCTGTATGACACACATCCCCACTGAATGGTCAGACATACTAACATTTACAAAATAAATGTGCTTGTGCAGAACTGAACTTAAACATCAATAGAAAACAAAAATAAGGACTTTCTCAAATCCATTGACATGAACTGTGCTACATGAATATAGAATTAGAATTAGATTTTATTGACACATGTACTCAAGTATAGGAATACATGAGTACAGGCAAAAGTAGGGATCATTTTGATATCCAGTCATTTATTCACTTTGTCAGTACTAATTCCAATCTTTTTGGGAATAAATTACTCTCAAAGGTTCCAGAAGGGTCATTCAGTAAAACCTATGCTAGTTATCTCAATCAAGTGCTGCATGTTTAAATTCAAAATAGCTTATTGAAAAAAAACACGAATTAGGAAATCCATTCTTTGCACAGCATAAAAAACAACTTTAGATTTTTCACCCTGAGGGTGATGATTCTGATCAATTTCAACCTAGTTGACTTCTAATTTAATTTGTGGAACAATCTGGAGCTCTAGAATATCCCTCTTCCTTCCTCTCTTTGCAATGAGCTCTACACAAACATATCCTTCGTAGCCAACATTCACTTCTTTTCAGAGACTCTTGTCATGGCAGCGAGACTGACCATGCATGTCAAGTGCACTGACAGACAAAAAAGTGCTCTAATTGCACAACGGTCATTCTCCTACCTCTGAACCAGGAGACCTGCCTACTCCAGAGCTATTTAATAACATCTCTGAACAGGTGATTAGAAAAAATGTATCAGGAGTTCCAATTCCCAGTTACACTATATAACATTTCATTCTTTCAATTCTGACTGTGCTATGATCATTGATTGGATCAATGGCTGATACACAAACTGACTGGGAACAAAATGGGAAAAGTTCTACAGGACAATAGACAAATTACAAGTGCAGTTTAAAATTAGCCTGACACAAAAGCAAATGATGAGCTGTAACAACACCAGATGGGTAACAGGTACCAAGTAATGAAACATATACAAAACGTATATTTTGAAATGCAGTCAATATTCCCAACCATAGACAAACTGACAGATATTGTTTTATCGAATCAGAGATAGTAGGAACTGCAGATGCTGGAGAATCCGAGACAACAAGGTGCAGGGCTGGATGAACACAGCAGGCCAAGCAGCATCATAGGAGCATATTATTTTATGTCAGGCACACAGGAAATGCTGTAACTTTTAGAATTATTAGTTCTAGAAAAGTGTGGATACTCATTTGTTGAATATAATCAACAGAGACGTTAATAAATATTCGGATTCTAAGAAAATTATGTGATATGGGGATAGTGCAACAAACTGAGTTACATCAACCAAATTGCAATGAATTGCAAAACAGCCCCTAAAAACCAAAAAAAATCTACTCCTGCTTCTATTCCTAATACTCTCTATGACACGGAAATATTCTCTGAATACCAAATGATCCTGACAAGTAATCGCCCTGAACTGGAGGACATGCATCTGTAGCCGTCCATGACAATCCCTCATAGATAACAAGGTGTAGAGCTGGATGAACACAGCAGGCCAAGCAGCATCAGAGGAGCAGGAAGGCTGACGTTTCGGGCCTAGACCCTTCTTCAGAAAATCCCTCAGTTGGGCTATGACGCTCCACACATTCACCTATATTTACATCGCAGTCCTCTGTACTTTGGGGAAAGTCGGTCACCTTGGTCTGCCACAGGCGAGTCCACCACGTTTGCGTGGAGTGAACCTCGTTTCATTTTAAACGTGTAACTTCTGTTGGTTTAGGAAGACTCAGTTTCCAGCGTGACCTTTTCCCCCAGTACCGAATGTCGCCATAATGGCGTTGATTAATACATAATAAACACACCCAGAACGAGGAATCACTGAAAATATTTATGATAGGAGTGCCCACCTTCGCCAGCTGCAATCCCCATCACCGCCATCGTATCCCCAACCCCAAAGCTCACCCATGGACAGTGGCGGGGGCGGGGCCTCCGACCAGAAACCATAACAACTGCATCGCAACCAATCGCCGCACGACAGGTAGTGACGTCTGGGGGAACCTCGGCCAGTCTTTCTGATGTGTTTGTAGTCTTGGGCTCCGCCTCCAGTCAGGGCCAGGTGACCGTTGAGGACTCCGTCTCCCACAAGACACCGCGCAGCTGCTTTGGGGGGGTGGGGAGGGAAGAACCTTTCCACGGGACTATATTTCCCATAACACCACGCGGGCGTGATCTGCTGCCCAGACTACAACTCCCAGCAACCTTCGCGGCCACCCGGACTCCTACCCGTCCAGAGGCTGAACAATGGTCCCGCGGAAAAACTGCTCAATAACTAGGGCGCGCTAGGAGACAAGTTTTATTGTTGGGCAAAACATATACACTTATCGTATATCTGTGTCGACAATGTGGATACCGACAGACAATGAAAAATATGGTGTGGGTGAGTGAATTGCTGTGCTTTCTGTGCATTCTTGTCTTGCCCCTTTCTTTTTATTCAATGAGTTGGTCTGGTGCCAGTGTCGCTGCAGAGAGCAAAGGGAGATGTTTAAGAAAAATCTGTGGAGAACTGATCCGACCACCATAATAATGTTACCGCTTCCATAACGGTACGAGCTGTTATCCCCGCTGGCAGAAAGCAGCAGGTCTCGCTGCAAAATAGCCTTTCTTTTCACTTTCCCTTTGCTTGTTCGCTTCGGAAATGCCCTTGTTGATAAAGAGAGGGAGAAACGTAGGATGTCCTTCTTGCTTTGTGGTCTCGTTATCTTTCCCGTTTAGCATTCCCCACACCTTTCTGAAACATTCGCACCCTGATTTGTCTTTCTCTGCCTTTGTGTTGCTTTGCTTCATTGCTTCTGCCTATACGATATTTGCACCTGATAATCACTATTTATGTCTTTCCTTGATTAAAAACCAGTAAGCCTGTTTCTTATTAGGGTAGACAAAGCTTGAGAGTGTGCCTAGCTACATATCTATGGAATAACGCCCTGAAGTGACATAATCCATCCGTTTATATTGGCTGAGCCTTCAATTTGCTCTTTGTGATTTGGTTGTATGATCAGAGTTGTGTAAAGTTGAGCAAGCGATAAATGATACTGCGCTGATCGATAAACGAATGGGATAAGCTGACCTGAAACATTCCTTCCATTTAATTATTAAAAATAGATCAAACGCGCTTCCAAAAGGACGGGGAACTATTTGGTTTTTAATTTGGTGTAACAACAAAGCAGTGCAATCTGGATGTTACCTCCGCCGCTCAGCGGGACAACGGTTCAATGTAAGACTGATATGAAAACCGCTTCATTTTTACACAGCGGGTGACGGGCTTCAAGAAAACAAAAACATGTGAGATATGAGACGGCATTTAACCCCATCTGACAATTTCAATAACACTCCTTGTATTAATGCCGTTGCAGGCATTATTAAAGTCAGTCCCCAGGCAAGTGTTGGGGAAGGTGAAATGTTTATGTGTCAGCATGTTTATTCTTGATTCTTTGTGAATGGAGCTCCACAATGAGTAAGAGAGTTGGTTAATACCCAGATCGCACAGATGTCCTTCACTTTGCCTAAATATGTCGTTTTTTAAAAAAAAAATTCCGCTGACTAAATGTTGACCTCGTCCGCCTTTAGAAGAAATGATCTTGCTGGGGCACATCTGGATTTCTCCCTCCGATCAATGGTTATTGAAGTTTCCGCTTCCCACTGTAATTTAGCCAAAGCTGTGCTGTGCTGCAAGTCTCTGGGATTTAAACAGGACGGACTGCAGCTTTTCATCTGCTCACGCTCCGAGTAGATCCGCTGGATTTGGAGCGTGGGACTGGCTTAGCTTCTAATGTCAACTCTGCGGGATCGTTAAATCTCTGCAGCAGTGAGCGAGGCCAGGATCTCAATCCATGTTTTAGTCAGTCGAGAGGACGTGGACTCGCAAGTTCCTTGTCCTACTGCGGTTAGTTGGTCACATGAAATGTTGTTTTAGAAACATCATGCTCTTGAACTCTTTGCGGACTTTGTATTATAGAGTCAATATATTTGGCTGGCGATAGGTACCAGTCTGTCTCGCCTTGTAACAAGTTGATTTTATGGGAGAATCTGTGTGTATTGTGTAATTAATTGCGATTTGCAATAGAGGGTAGCTTTTCAGTTTTCAAGTGGTGTCCAGGAGCCAGAAAATTGATCATGTTTGTGATCTGTCCAGACCGAGGTAGCTGCAACAATTCGAATTCTGTTTTAATCAACTGGTTTGGACATGGTATGACACACCTCCGGGACATGCGAGGGGCACTTGCCCCTCAGAGGACACAATACGCTTAGTTCAGTAACTAGTGAACAATGCCTTTCTTCCCCTCGTGCTATTTCTCTCTCAACCCGCTACAACCGGTGGACAATAATGACTGCAATCTATAATATTAGTGAAGCAAAGCTGATCATTTGGAAAAGGTGCCGGTGACAAGACGAGCAGACAACTTCAATGAGTGCAGTTTGACACGAAAGTTGTCAATTCTCATTGCCAATGCTTTAACTCTGAAGAAACAAGTTTGCAACGTTAAGCTTTTGGGGGGAAAATGAGGAGGACTTTAACCTTTTTTTTGAAATCAACCTGTTCAGAAATGTTATGACACACCTCTAGAGCAGGTAGGACTTGACACATGGGCCTTCCAGACCAACGCGCCACGAGAGATAATTTTAACCTGTAGGGGAGTTCTCCGTTATTCAGACATCACCTTCAGGATTGATGCTGCTTTGGAGTTGTATTGGATGGTGGAATTTTGTTCCGAGGATAATCTGATGATGGCCCGGGATGTTGCCCTTTTGGGGGGAAACTCCAATTCGTAGAAAGGTGTTAATACAGATTCTCTCGCAGCACAAATAAATCAGTACACTCTACCGGATACTTCTCAAATTCAAACAGCAATTCTAAGGCCTTTGTTGAAGAGTCTGTGCTCTCAGTACATTTTTTTTTCGAGATGCTCAGAAGCAAACAAAAAACTGCACATGCTGGGAATCCGAAACTGGCTGCAAGATGCAGAAAACACCAGGCTACTCAGCGGTTGTGGGGCGCACAGATACAAATCCCTTTAAGGCTTTAGACCCTTCATTGAAACTGCTCTGTGAAAAGGTCGATTCTTATCTAGTTTCCTGGCGGTTGATATCTGACAACGTTGTTTCTCCAGCGTTTTCTATTTTTTTAAAAAAAAAATACTGGCCAGACACAGCTCTTTTTCCACACGCCCAACCGCACCGCGTGTCCTGTAACCCCTGCAGCAAAATGTGGATGTTGTTAGAAATGAATAGAGTCTTGCAGCTCTCGTTCTTTATAACTACAGCTCCAGAAACTTTTCTTAAAAAACAAATAATAACACTAATAACTGGACAGCGGGGAGACCAGGGAAAAGAGTAAAACAATCCAGTTGACGGCCGCTAGAAACTGTGAATTAAATCAGGAATTTCTCTTATGGGTTCCTCTTGGCTGAAATTGACTTCGGAAATAAAAAATAAGTTGGAGGTTCTGTAGGACAGAAGAACGAAAGTCATAGGTGACTCGACCTGAAATTACAACTACACAAAATCTCTTGTGAAAAATGGTTCGAGTTGAGGTTGCCAAGGGCAGGGGTGAATTTTGAATTTGGTGGGGAATCTCATTTGTAACTGGATGAAGGTGTTTCCAGAATAGATGAACCGCCATTCACCCAGAAAAGCCTTCAAGTTTGCGGTGAGGAAGACGATTTTTTTTTTGAATCCAGAAATTAAACACTAAGAACACCAACATCATCGGCATTCTTTTGCGGAGGTATATTGGACTCAAAAAGCTTTTGTCTGCACATTATTTCTCCACATTTTAGAACAAAACCAACCGCTGATTGCCAGAGTTGTTTTGTGCTATGTTGTGGTTTGCTATTTCGCAGCGCAGTTTAAACAATAGTACATCTCGCCGAAGGTTCGGTGGTTGAGCGTGTATCTAATAAATGCAGTATTATTTACGTAGATATATTTAATACATAGATATCTTTATGAAAGCCCGGTCAAATGTACCGAATCTTCCATCCTACATTTTCACCGAAGGAACAGACTATTGATCATGATGAAGGTTGTATCTCTTCGCCAGGGGAAAATTTTTCTGCCCTGTTGCTCACATATTTACAACCTGTTTCACTCCTCAATGACACTTGCTTTTCAGTAGCTGATACTATTAGCAACAGTGGCATCGTATTATAGAAGCGCAAAAAAAACTTCGTCACGTGATATGCAACTTGTCAGCACTCATGAAAAAGATTAGCAATGATAACTCTTGAAGTTCTGAAACACGGAATTGAAATGTGAAGTTTTTATTCAAAGCGATTGCATACTTTGTTCAGAGGAAATGAAAAGTATACTCATGGTCGGTTACACAATTACTTGAAGGCTCCAAGACCATTTACAATAAGAAATTCAGTGGAGTTCCCTTTGGTGTTTTTAAACAATACTATCACATAATGCCAGCATCCTTGTAGATATTTTCACCTGTTGTTTACCAATTAATAACTGAAATTGATGCGTGTTTTTAGCTGCCTTTGTTCAATCATTTCTATTTAAATTTTAGCCTTGCAAATTTAGTTTTTTTGCTCTTAACCATTGTGTTGAAATTAGTATGGTCCTGGTAATGGTCATGAAACAGTCTTTCTTTCTAAAGTGATAATGCAAGTAATTCTGTATTAATGAATGTAATATTATTGGTACTCTGGAATATTGCATTAAAATGGCAAACATTCATAAAATGTCTTTTCTAATGTTAAGTCTATTGACGTTTTGTACCTGCAACAGTAGATGGCAAATAGGCTGCTGATATATTGTACCACATGATTGTTACAGCTCGAAAGCAGGACCTTTTTCAGATTTCTCCTGACTCTATGCAAGATCAACTCCGCTAGTTCCATTCCCCTGCCATATCCCTGAAGGTCTCTAATTTGTTTAATAAATAGCCCATCTGGTTTCATTTCGGGAGCCATGATAGACTCTGCCTCTGCCACAAATACTCACTCTGAGAAGCCAGCTTGGCTGCCTAGTCCTCCCTCCTATCCCCTTTCTCCTAAATTATAAAAATAAATTCCAAAGAAGAAAAGGTTTGACCACTAGCCATTAGCTCCCAGGTTGTGAGGCTCTGCTCTAAAGAGAATTTTTTGAATTTTTTTTTCTTTGCAACTGGCGGAAGTGTTTTACTTTTGGTGTTCACTTCTCCTGTTGCTCCCAATCTGCTGTGCAGATCCTCCAATCACACGTTCCTTTGCTCCTCCAATCATTAGTTTCTATTTGTGGAGAAGCTGCATGAACAGGAAGGAGGAAATCTGTGACTGCGGAAGCTGGTGTAACATGTAGAGAGACAGAAGCTGTGTGACTGAAAGAACAGCTCTTCACAGATGCCATCTCACCCATGCCCACTGATCCTCCACTCAAATTCTGCCTGACTTC